TTCCAAGCTGGATTTCCCACATAGTTCCTGAGGTTCAGGGAGCAGAATATCACCTGGTTCTTTTAAAACACAAGACCTTTGACGTTCAGGGTTACCGAACCCTAAATATCAGCATGTTAAAATACCTTGCTGACTGACTGGCAGTAGCAAAGGGTGAAAGGCAAAGATCTAGAAGCATTGCAGAGCTTCTCTAACTCGACCAAACCTCAGTTTTCAGGTGAGACTGTAGTTACATTCTTTCTTCTCCCTTCCTGTTCTCTCTGATCCTATCCTCCATCTTCCTTCCCATTTTGAATATGATTCTCCAAATGTCTGTTAAGTCTTTCTAGGGACACTGCAATACAGCAATATAAAAAAAGGACAAAGTGAGCAGTGATGTCTGGGGAATATTACATGGACAGTTCACAAGGACACAATGTTCTTATGCAAATTGAAAGCTAGTGAAGTCAGTGCGGTCAACGCCACTGTTCTTGCCAAAAGTAACACCAGATACGGAGTAAAAACAGTGGGTTTATGTTTCATCTGTAAAACTGGCCATCTTTACCAAAATTCTTTCCAAAACTACACTAGAATATCAATACAACACTGACATTTAACAAACAAAGTTCAAATCTATCATATAGGTACGCAAAACCTGTGAATCCTGATTGTACCCCAAAACAATAGAAGTGACTGACTAGAGAAACAAAGAAACTCTTTTAAGACCTATGTTTGGGAAGCTTATGCCAATAAGTACTTCAAGTTGTCAGAAGTCTGTAAAATGGTATCACGAGTAGTTTTGAAAACTCCAGTTGAGAAATTAAAATGGGAGAACGACACGTTTTTCAACATGGTTTTGCAGCTGGAATTTGGGGGTACCGCTCTGCGATGGTATGCCTGGGCACAATGAGCAGCCTTCACATACCTGACTGCCCGGTTTTCATGCATAGCTGACTCCTCTCGTGAGGTGGTCTCGTTAAACCCACAGCGTTGCAAGGAAAGCTGGGCACTGCTGCTGGAAAAGAGGGTGGAACTGAGCTAAATAGCATTAATCAAATGCCTTGATAAGCCACGGTGAAGGAATGTTGAGCTTTTAAGCTTTGGCTTCAAGAGATTAAAAACAATACTAAAAAAAACACAAGCAATTTGAAGAGGAGGAGAGCTTTGGCTATTGGCTTTCAAACGTGACTAGCCGAAGCAGGCTAGCTGGGCGTGGGTAAGAGGCTGCTTTGCCATCGCTGCAGATAGCACAGGCCGCCCGCCCGCTGCTAAGGGGTCCGAGTGTTGGGCCTCCTTATGCCCCAGGCAACACAGACAGCCAAGCCCAGCCTCCGGCAGAGCCACGGGAGGTGACTCCCCAGCCTCTTTTTGCTGTTCTTTTGTTGCCGTTTTGCTTTCTTATCACCCTAACACTTTTCATCTTTAATACTTCTACCATCTGTAAGTTTTTGTAGCGCTAAGCCCATTCACCTTCAAGTTCACCAGTTCCTCTTCTCCTGTAGCTGGTAACTGATGAAATTGAAAATTGAAAATGGGCTTTAATATATTGAAGCAAGCAGGTTAAGCGTGTAAGAGCTTGAAAAGAATCTTCAAGTACTCTTCTTCTGTGTAGTAAGTGCATTGACCTGCTTTCACCAGCTCTTGAGTTCTTTTATGCACCCTAGATCCTGGCTTTGTCATGGAAAGGACGCAAGTACAGCGTGTATGTGTAGGAAAAAGTAGTTACAAATGTGTATGGGGGAAGGGAAGACTAATATATTGTATTCTTCTCAGAGTAGGACCTACGTTTCCATTCTTAAAATGTACAGTATTTGAGCTTATGACTGGGGATCTCAGACACTGCCACAGTGAAAGTAACAGTGATAAATGACAGCGTGGTATGAAAGTGATACTTAAGGGTTTGCTGTGGCTCCACCCATGAAAAACGAGCTTTTATCCTAGTGCATAGGTTGTTAATATATACGAAGTCATATTTGGAAGTGTTTTAAACATTTACTGATATGACTTGATCTCTGCCAGTCCGTGTAGCTAAATATTTAGCACCTGCCATCCAGAAGTCCCGGTATCATCGTTTCACTTTTTGAACTTGGTCTCCAAGGTTCTTCGAAATCCATCGTTTTTCTAATTAAAGGGATCTTCTGCACGCAAACACGCCATGATTTTTGGTCCGAGATTCTCGCACCTTTTCAAAGCTAGGAATAAGATGTACAGAGAGCCACAGCATGTCCCGAGTCGGAAGGGACCCGCAAGGACCATCGAGTCCAGCTCCTGCCCCTGATGCTTCCCTTTCACGCAGACTGGCCGGCGGCTCAGTCGCGTCTCTGCCTGCGGAGAGCCTCGGGCGGTTTCAGGGGGTCTGGGGGCCTCCGTCGCACGCAGGCGGCAGGCCGCGGGGGCCCGCGCCGCCTCGCCCAGCGCCACCTCGCTTGCCGGGCGGGTCGCGGACCCGTTCCACCCCGCTGCCCCTCAACCGCTGCACAGGCTTGAGGGAAGCGCTGCGCGGCTTTTCACGCAGATTTTAACGCGGGGCTGGCCCCACGGCATCGGCCGGCCCCCACCCGCCCGGGCGAGGGGGCCCGCCGGCGCCGGGGGGGGACCGGCCCC